TTGGGATGATCAACTTTTACAGACGTTTTATCCCTAAATGTGCAGACTTAGCAAAACCACTAACTGATTTATTGAGGGGACGAGCTAAATCATTAGCAATGACACCGCAAGCAATTCAAGCATTTGATCAGTTAAAAAGCGCTTTAGGCACAGAGGCATTACTCGCACGACGAAAGGTTGATGCACCTTTAGCAATAATGACCGACGCTTCTAACGTAGCAGTAGGTGCTGTACTTCAGCAACGTGTCAAGGAACAATGGCAAGCCTTGCATTTTTCTCAAAAAAACTAAACGCAACGCAAACAAAATATAGCACATTCGGTAGAGAACTGTTGGCTATCTACTTAGCCATCAAACACTTTCGCTACATGTTAGAAGGCAATTCTTTCACGATATATACTGATCACAAACTTCTAACTAAGTCCTTGATGCACAATCATGATAAATACAGTCCGCGCAAAATTCGTCAACTAGAATTCATTTCACAATTTGCAGCTGATATACGCTATATTAAAGGCAATGCAAATGAGGCAGCAGATGCACTATCGAGAATAAATATCAATACCTTCTCGATCCCTGATATAGACTATCAAGAAATGGCAAAGCATCAAAAGCTCGATACGGAGCTACAAAAGCTTTTGCAGTCTAAGGAAACGAAATTATTATTCCAAAACATCCCCATAAACAACAAGGACACCTTAGCTTGTGATACCTCAACAGGTAAAACTCGCCCTTTTGTACCTTTCGGTATGAGACGAAATATTTTTGAGAAAAAACAGACAACTGTAAAACCGTCTAAACCTGCAGCAGAGCAAGCACCATTCAAACTACATGCAACAAGCAACACTTCAAATCAAAGTTCAGCAGCAGCACAAACTACAACAAGATCAGGAAGAAGAGTACATTGGCCATATAGGTATGTAGCAACCACCATATTTATCTAGACCAAATCCTGAGACTACTCTTATAACACATAAAAATCCTACTTTATTTTGATTACTATTTTTATTGGCCCCACGGATCATCATTATGCTTACATTTTAACTTTATACAATTCATTAATGTTAATTATACACTTGTATATACATGATATGAAACGTTTCAACACACAAGCTGTTATTACAATTTTACGCTTACTCATCATATTTTGTGTTGTACTTTTATTTTAAAAACGGTTCCGTCCTTTATCTCTTTGTCGAACATAGATGTTAATCCAATTTTTTTCGGTACATAAAAACATCAATGTTCTGGATGGGAGCTTATGTGGCAAGCCCATTTGGCTACTGTATCATTTATCTAGTCATTGTAACTCAGACTCAATTCACTATGTTAATTTCGGTGTGTATGATCGAATGTATGTCTGTACATTAACTCTTAAGCTATCTTCCTATTGGTTTCAATGTGCAGATAATCGATAATCTATCCACACCCGATTAACTCTCAAATATATATGGATTTTTAACAGACTCACACACTCACTCTGTTTCATCGTGTGCTTGCTCACCGTACGCTTGTGGATTATTATTATTCATTATCAATAAACTATCTCTATAACTGGTGTTCAGGCCTCTCAATAATCTCGAGTAAATTCGCAATTCTACTAGGAGATTAAGCCTACCTAAAACACTCAGTTACGGGATATTATTATTTGGAGTCAGATATTGAGGACATTATCCTTAACACTACACGGAATCGATGTGATCAATTATTTATAAAACCAAACATGCAAATTATTATACTTTAAAGTGGCAAGTAACCTAATACATGAAGACCAATTAAGTAAGCTATGATTATGAAAGGAGCGAGAAACAATTTCGAATAATTTAGCATTTTTGTGCGTAATCATAAGAACAAATTTCTAGATAACGGGAAAATCTTGTATTGATATGTGAGTGCTAGTGGATGCAATAAGATATTCGTTGTACTCATCTGAGCTTCAGTCTTGTGATGAAGACTTGTTTGTAGTTGTCGTTACACAGGTACATATTTATGTGCACATTGTTACCCTTCGTGGAATAATAAATATTGACCCACTGTCTTGAACCACGTCTGAACTCGACTTTTATTTTTAGCTGTCGTCAAGTTATATTCATTCATTCATTTGTTCACTCGTCCGGTGTTTGACTTCAATTTTTAGAGCTTCGTGTTCTTCGGTCTGCCCCCTTTTCTCTTCTCATGTTGATTTCTGATGTGAGTGCCGGCTCTCTATCTAGTTTAAAGAATCCTATAATAGGTCGTTGCAGATAGTTTCTGACCACACAATCAGGCGTAACTCGAGTATTGCTTTATGTGCATGAGTCGAATTGTGATGGTCTTTAAAATCCAATTGATCATCAGAAGGAAGAGAACAGAAACGTTCTCGATGTACTAAATACATAAACTACGATTTTATGTTGATTGTAAGTGTTTCAATCGTTTACTATTATACTTTGCTATACTTCACTTTTGTACTTCAAAATCCCGAATGATCTAATTTATGAAGATGAAATAAGTACACTACAAATATGAAACGATTGAAAAACAATTTTGAATGGTTTAGTATTTGTCTGTTAAATGTTGTGGTCACATTGCTAGATGATGTCAAAATCTCGTGTGGATGTGTGTGAGTCAGTAAATACTTACTAACACACTTGTTTTCCTACGCCTGTTGATCCTTGTGGAGCAGCACATTCCACCCACCAGCACTCCCTATCCAACCATGTCCTGGACAATACTTTCTAGCTATTTTCAGTTGTTATTCATCCATTTCATATCTGCTTCTATTTGCCGATGCAATGTATTCTTTTTGACCTTTCTCCATTCTTCTTCCTTTCAAGATTGCAGGATAGAGCTTATCTCGTGATGTAGTTTGGTGATGTTCGTAACGTATATTCCATCGCTTTCAATAGTCTTTACCTAATTTATACATCAACTGGAAGCTGCTGCTACACTAGTTCTCTACATCTGTATTTGTTCGTTGTACCATATAGTTGTTTCATATTTTTTTCTTCTGCAGCTCTCCTGCCGTCGTTGCTAGTTCTTCCATGTTATTCGTTTTGTCGACTTTAGTGCTCTTCCTCACTTGCTTGTCTGGCTCTCTATACGCAGCTTATGTTTCGACATTCTCTGCTATTATTCGAGTGTTTTCAATTGCTGTTTTTTTTTCTTCGTTTTTTTATCTTTTCCAGTGGTTCTATGAATATTCTTACCTCATGATGATACTTCTTGCGGCGTGGATTCTACTGACACGTTGAACGTTATGGATATTCGATGCATTTCCAGTTAAACTTCATGGTAGATTCTTCTTCCTTCAGTCGATTCTGAAAGGCTTGAGACTTCTTGTTAAGAGCTATCTTCATTTCGTTGAGTTTGTTGGAATCTTGAAGGAACGCTATGTTGAAGTTTTGTAATTCTGTGACTCCAGTTGTCCGTTGTTTCTTTAGCTTCAGTTTTATCTTGACTACCTTCAGGTGATATCTGAAGCTAAGTCAGCTCTTCGCATGGCTCTCACAACATACACTGTCCTCCGAAATCCTTTACTGTTGCACAAATGAACTATCTGCTTCCATTTCGCGTGATCCAGTGAGATCCACGAAGCTTTGCTTCGGTTGTTAGACGCAGCAACGTTCTGGTGACTTCTGAAGAAACGCAAATTACCCCAAAAGGCTTCATAACTCATCAACATGTAGAACTTCAAAACTTATGAATTTGAGTTTGTCAATAACAGAATTTTTGAGAACACAGTCTTTTGTAATATGACAACCAAAACCTGATATTACTTCAACCACACTAGGTTCTGCGTGTTGACCAATTACTTCAAATATTCTTGGCTTACTTAATAGCATACGACATTTTTATTCATAACTGAAGCAAGACCTTCTATACATTGACAGGCAAACTACTTGTTTTAATTTCAGTTTGTTTCCAAGAAAGTGGTAGAGATCATTTTTAAAGTGGACCATTTGTCCCATCATTGTTATGAAATATGCAATCAACACTTCTCTATGAACTATTGTCCTTTTAACATGTTCCCAATGAATGCCAGATAACTGGATAACATTCTTCCATATTTCATTATTCTGTACAATCTGTGACCCCCTATTGTTCTATTCATGGTGATTTTGTCAAAATGAGCAACACCCTTCTACATTTTATCAACCAGAAAATCGTTCATGAAATATTTCATTGTATGTACCGTTCATTTACTGAGGTGTCGACGTTTATTCATTGGTGAACCTTAAATAACTGGCGTGAATACAGTGTACATTATACATTGTCTCATCACATTGCTTTATTCATGTATTTTAACATAGACGTGGAAATCAGTCTTTGCCTTAAGTATTGAAAATTATTTTTACACTAGTGGTACAGTTATCGCTGTTGTTTTTACAACTCTATGTCATTCTTTTATTACAATCCTTGACAACTTCAACCTACATCATTCAGTATATTCGGTTCAGTTTTTACGTGATTAATAAAAACGTACTTGTTTCTTCTTTGATATGAATAGAATAGCTAAAGCTTTGATCAGTGGTTGGAATTTCAAAATATACGATGATGAAATCATGTGACAGAATAAACTTTAACATCCAATCAAAACAGTTTGTGATATTTTTATTGTTACCAATCAAATCAAAACAATGCCACATTGACAGCTGATTGACAGCTGTCAATGCAACAATATATTTGTTCATGAACACATCAGCATACATTTTGAACTACAAGTTAACCAACCACTTTTTCTTAAACACCCTGACTCACATTCAAGAAAAGTTTCATCAATAGGGGTCAAGAATGTAAACCAATCGTGCATAAATTTTAGTTCATATTTTCAATTTCTAAAAGAATATTGATTAGCGATGAGTTCATCTACCAGCATGATTGGTTATCGATGAACTACTGGTCTTATCAAAATTCATCTTCTCAATGGTCACTTTAAAACATCGAATCAGAACGAAACAACAAGACACTGAAAATTCTATATAAACCTGAGAAGTTCTTTTAAAATTTGATTTACCACTTTGAAAAGGAAGATGAAGTAAGTGTTGAAATACCAATAGCAACCACTGATTTTATCATAGGCATTTAAATTTAATTCAATGAGATACCGTTTTCTTTTTCATTTTAGATGCACATTTTCATTCATTCTGTCGATAACACTTAGTTTGATCATCGTGTTGCTTCACGAATTCTTCGAATGTCAAGATGTTTATGAAAAAAGAGCTTTACTAGAAAAAGAGTTCGTAATTCATGAAAATGGTTCACATCGATATGTATGTAATCAGTCAGTTTGTAATACGCATACTCAGTCTTTTCGATTTGGTTATTTACAGAAAATTAGTCTTAATCAGTCACATCCGGTTGTGAATGGCAGTTTCAACAAATTCACTGATATTCAAGTGAGTTGACTACATTATTTAGCGAAAGTGCGTATCCATATGATTGCATCATTCTAGAGTTTCACACCGAAATTCCCGTTCAAATATTTTGATACTGAAGTCAAAAGATTTGATTTTTACTCTACTGGTACGTCTAAATGGTTTTCTGAACTTAAACTTTTACTGTTACCTTCTTCACATTTCATTCCACAAATTAAAGTTAATTTAATTTCCTCAATGAATAAGTTTTGTGCTTCTTGTAACAGACGAAACTTTTTCAGATGTCTTCTTTTGATCAACTTGTCAAAAATATTATGCCATACAGCAAGCCATATACAATTTATGCAATTCATTACAGTGTTGAGTTGATTTCTAAATGTTTTTATTCATGTTTTCAACAAAGGTATAATAAGTGTATTCAAAGAAGAATACTTCGGATTGATTATGGGTCACCGTTCATTGGATAACAATGCCGAATATGAGGTTTTGAATAGCAGTGAGTTCTTGCAATATTCGGTTATAATTTGTATCCCATCTTTTTCTCATATTTATTTCGCGTAAATGATTCAGTATTTCACTTGATTGTTAAACGAAACTTAACCATTACAGAGTGATTGTTCAATATGCATGGTTGTCGTATCACAACATTTGTGTCCAACAAGTTTTAATGAAAATGTTTGATAAAACAGAGATTTACCCAGTTATTGACTGATTATAAATGATAAACCAGTTAATGTTATTGTCAAAGAGAAAATTACCTAGTCTGTGGTCTATAAATACTACACTATAGATGTTTCACTAACACACTAGTTCCTCATAGACTAAATGGATCTAACAGATCATATGCGCAATGATAAGCAAAGTTGTGAGAGTAGTGAGTTTTGATTGTTAAACTCTATGAACTATCCAAGTATATTTGATCTAATACAATACCTTTCTTGCACTTACTTGGTTGATGAAACTTTATTGTCTCTGAGTTTCTCTCAGCTGGCCACGGAATATTAAACACTATCTGTTATGACCTTGAATGTCTGACTTTTCTATCACCCAATTTATCTACCGATCCGAATACGACTTATACGAATGTTCACACTAGGCCAATCAATGACGTTCAACCGGTGTGGGCAGTTTAGCGTCCTTATTGGTCCTATGTCCTCCGAGCCCTTCCACTTGAGTCCAGAACACAATACCAGCTTCCGAACCAGAGCAGATCAGACCAGATCGTTTATTTCAGGCATACTTGGTTTATATATCAATCAGACAAACCGCAGCGTACCATAAAATAGGAAATAATACTTGTACACAAATAAGTCCAAAAAGTGGCTGTGAATGTGGGAGGCAGTAGTTAATAAACTGAACATAACTTAAGAACCGTAAATCGTACAATAATAAATTATAGGTCGCAATAAAGCTTATCATAAAAGGAATATACATATACATAGTGTAATTGTTGAGTAGTTATACAATAAGAATATTTATAAAATATTAGTCCATGAATAGTCCTCGGAAGTTACCTGTAATTTGATCTTCATTAGGATATAACACTATCTTTGTAATCATATTTATATGGTTACGACCATCGAACTCAGGTACTTTGTGAACGAACTACTATGAACACATAGAATATCAAGTTTATATCATTGTTTTTGGTCAGTTATAAGAAATGATGATCAACGGAATCTCAACAAAATAATAATTTTGTATGCGTTGTGTCTGTTAGAAATTAAATGTCTCTTACCGATGAAAAAGCTCCTACAACAAATGTGACAGAAGCGAAATATTTTTCTTCATTGATCTGATGAATCGCATCCTTGAACTTTTTTCAAATGAAATGAATAGGCATTTAATTGTATTAGTTCATTTAAACCTCGGAGTGTAGATGATAACTTGTATGTGATGGTAGTCCGTGTCAAAACGGACATTTAGTGAGAGATTTATATTTGTTCACTATTCAGAAATCTAAAAGTTTTCGTTTTAATTTTCATTGTTTCAGAGGAATTACTTGCTGCTAAATGGTCTGTCAAAAGTGAAGAGGAGGATGGTACACGTAAGTGACCATTGAACGATTGTTTGGTTACATATGAAATCCACACCATTTTATGTTTACCCACTTGGATTGGTCACAGTTTATGAGACTCAAGTCTACAAAACAGACAAAGAATGAAGTTAAATAAAGCAAGAACAAATATTGATGCTTTATTTAAATTCATAAAGGGAACCAATTGCATGAAAGAATGAAGTATTTTTCAACTTTACTGAGAAATGATACTAAAAATATATTTGATATCTACTCACTGTTTGATGTTGTTGATTAAGACTTGAAGAACATTTGAAATGAATTGAGGAAGAGCAGATGTGATGAGCGATATATTGGTCAACATAAATGAATGAAGTCGTAATATAAGTTCTCTAGTGAGATCAATTTGTTAACAAACACTCCATAATTAATCCCATTTATAATTAGAGTCGATTGTTTAGAAAAACGTTACATAAAACATTGTGTACAAGTGAATATATCTTCGACTATCTAATTTTATTGATGAACTCGGTGACTTAATGTTTTTGATGGAGTTTCATTCTCTGAGCTCGATGGTTTTGTCGTGGAGCTTTCATCGTTCTTCTGAACGACATCATCAACACAAACTTCAGGAAGAAGTGAAGTGTTCGAATTTTTCCTCATGCGTTTCACAGCTTTTTCTGTACACCTGGTGCGTATTGACCCTAAATTTGTCATTGTTTACTTTTATGTTCTGGTAGTGCCTCTCATTGGTTCGATTTTTGTTCCTATATTTGTGCATAATTTTCCCGATTGGTTGATAAATTTGATCGACTTCAATGTGCTTGTTGATTGCTGGTTGATCCAAGTGCTGTTATTATTTCTATCACATAACAACAGTAATAAAACTTCAGAAACTATACATATTACATTTGTTTCTTGAAAGATTATTGCTCATTTTGTTCACATGACGTCTACTCGAATGTATCTATAACAAATTCAACTGAAGAATACATTTCAGATAACACAGTAAACATCTACTGAAATCCGATTTCTTTAGAGATAGACACATACAGTTTTTACGTCTAACATTAACTTGTTTATTATCTATTTCTTAATTTGTAAGTACCGATAGTCTTCTTATTGTAGAGGTTACGTCCAATATAACTTATCTAATATATCCAAATGGGAAGATATCTTTTTATTATGACAATGTGAGTTGTAGAATTGAATGAAAATATCATGTTGTTGCAAGTACTTTAGATGACTCTATTATTTTATTTGTATCAATAATGTTTTATGTAACAAGTTCCATTGAACACGAAAGTGATCAAAAACACTTTCTTCAAGTACTTGTTAAAGACTGCAACCAATTGTTAGCGTGTTCGTTCTGAATAGTACCAGATAATGTATGTTGGAGTACTTTGCGGAAAAACTGTAATATTCTGTCAGCATTTATTTCATATTCTTACTATCGGCTATCATAGAAATCGTTGTAGAATATTTTGATTACAACATCTTCGCAGTTATTCATAGTCACATTTCATTGATCCATGGAATATAAAGAGTTCATCAAACCTGACTAAACTTGACTACTGTAGTGATTCACAATATATATGTGGACTGATTGTAACATTCTTCTGAGGAAATAGAGACTAGCATTGTGCTCAATGTTAGTCTGTAAATATGTCTTTGATTAAGATAATCGGAATGATGACACATTAGTAAATATTTAGATGGTTTTGATATAAGAATTTGTATTCTGGCAGATCTTGACATCAACATCAAATCCTTATTTGCAGATTCCTACAAAAGTTGATAGAAGTAAATGGAAAGCGAAACTCGCCCATGCGGACAAGCGTAAAGGAGGTGAGAATCTTTCGAACGAATGTTTTCAACACTTTGTTGTACACACTGTCTATATGTTACTGAATATTGAGTAGTCAATGTCAAATAAAAGTTCACACTCATGAGTGAATGATCATTCGGTGGTGATAAATGTCATATGTGTCAAGTCCTTCATAGTGCAGATCGATTACTATCGACCAACTTGCAATGTGGCCACTAGTCTAGGTGACTCGACACTACGTGCACTATGTCCAGGTGAGGTGGCGATTGGAGGTGTCCAACAGGAAACACTGAAACCGGGTTTCGTGGTCCGATTGCCCAGGCGACTGTGAGGCTGGGTGACAAGATATCGAATCTGTCAGAGAGCACCAGTTCCCTCAACATTACAGGTAAACCTGGCTGACGAGTGTCAAGTAGCACGAAGTCCGACCCCAGAGTTACCTGTTGACAACATTCAATCACCATCTCAAAAGTTTACACTTCTTGTCTTGTGATTGCAGTAGCGTACTAGATTATGAATGACGGTGTAGCTGAGTACTGAAATGTTAAGCAATGTTTGATAGTGGCTAGCAGTGAAATCCAGGACACACGTTTCGTTCAATTTGTGACTTGTCAGCTGAATGTACCTGCTTCTCAGATTCGATGTCCACTTTGTCAATATTATGGCAATATGCAAAGTATGCATATATGTCAATAAGCGACTTATCAATTGCAATCCTGAACAAAAATTGTAAGTTTCAAGTGGACAAAACCGTTTAAGTTCCAATCCTAAAAGCTTTCAAATTTTGTGATTACGTCTAGCAAACAAAAGAAAACTCATATTAACCGAATAAGTTTAGTTCTTCCTGAGAAATTTCATGGATAATGAATTTCATCATTGATATTGCTCACTGTCATTTTACCATATAATCCGAGTAAAACAACCAAGCTTTTTAAATGTATTTATCGCGAACGTGTGGAGGGCGATTCTTGAAAATATCACGATTATGGTTAACAGTTGACGGAACGAGACAGGGGTTTATGAATAACGACACATGGTACTACAGTGAGAACTCAACGTAAAATGAAAGTGTGTATTGTGTGAGATAGGAATAAACGAGTGGTACTTCGAACTGATATTTCCTTTACAAAATGCTCAACCGTCATGCTTCACTGAAATATTCATGTGTTGTTGAGACAGAAAGCTAAGTTTCTAGACGAAAATCTAGTGTAGGCGGATAGGCGAGTACATTCTTTTACGAATAAATGTGAGAAAATGAACTTAATGTTTGGTCAAGTGGTATACATTTTTCGGATGACATTTATTTTTGAGTCTTTGAACATTGAAGATAAATGACACTTTTGTGATGTTTGCTCAAACCCTCTCATTGGTGCTTCGGACTGCGATTAATCAGTCTCCTTCAGATAAATGTGCATCATGTGCTGACTATCTTGAGTTTGCGTTAATTCAGAAACATTGCAAGCAAAGATGGATGGTGGCTGGCATCGAAATCAATTGCATTCCTGATGATCAAACGAGGCAACTTGTTAAACAATATTGAAATAAATGAAAAATTAATCCCGTACCACAGGCCTTTGTGTCTAAAATGAGTAGTTAAGTGTGTTACGGTACGTCGTTGAAAGCGCAATTGGTGAGTACTCGTCTAAAAATAAACATCAAAATTGATGTTCAGATACGTGCAGACGACAAGTCTTAAATAAGACTAAACATGCGTCCTGATTACAATTCAAGCCACATTTCTCCTCTGGTCTTTAAAATACTGTGTTGCCTATTGTAGTTTGCATTATGAAAAAGTGATTTCATATTTGAACGAGAGTTGTTGGAAGATGCCGGACAGATATCTTTGTGAAATAATTTGAGAATTGGTCGACATGATGTTTTACTTACTGGTTGAAAATTGATCGATTTTGAAAATCATAGCGATTTAAACTGTGACTGTTTGAGATTTCGGATTATCACCGCTGTATCGTTTATCAAAATTGTTTCTTAAGTTCTTATTTTGAGAGCTTTTCAAATGGTGCAAACAACCTCTAACAAATAAACATGATAAAATTGTAAGTCTGTTTTTCTTTATTTTTTTTTACTCAACACATGAAAGATTATGAATTTGCTGTTCCTGATGAATGGATAAAAAGTGGCATGTCGGTGGAGTTTGAATACATCGGGAGTACGTTGAAACTTATTTATTCAGTAATAATTATTTTCACACTTGAATACATCACTTTTGTTTCATCAAACTGAAAATTTCATTTGTAACTGTATTCTACTATTAAATAACATGCAGTCATCTGTCTCAGCGGACGTTACACTTACCGTTAATAAATACGTCAATTCATTGTTGAATCTTACAAATGATTGAGAGTCTATTTGGAACTAATATTGAAGTGTTTGATTCGATGAAATTTACTTAGAATCAAAGTGATAAAATGAAAGAGGAGATTATATCACTCTGAGAGAATCGCTCAATGTTCCAGTGACCAAAAAGTTTTACTATTATCATCAAAGAATATCGTTTGATCCGAATAATCTGTAACATTAACTGACAATACACAGAGTGGAATGCGGCCACACACTTCCACATATTTCATCAACGTAGGTCGACCGAAAAATTTACAAGAAAAATGTCATTGATGAGTGGAAAAACAGTGACATCCTTCGTTTGTTGTTCCAATCGGGCAACATCATCGAACATGAATCTTTAGTCGAAGAACAACTGAATTTGCGATGAATGAAATATTCAGTGATCTACAAATCACCATTGTACAGTTGATTTCTCGTTTCATGTCTTGTTATTAACTTACCTTGTATTCGATAACCTGAAATGAAATCGCATTATTCTTTTCACAGCGTATTGTCCAAAATACAATTCGAGTGAGGCATGCAACAACGCGTCAACATTGAATACACACTGTATTTGGTGTGAAAGAAACAACACGTGCATGGTTATTACTGATAAGGATGCTCATAGCTTGAAAGTGAATGATTGTAACGTTGAGGTTAGTACTTTCAAACCGGCCGAGAACCTCATGGAAACTACTGAACGGACTGATCAATTTTCAGTGAGTATTTGCGTTTTGACAACTAATTCCAACTGTTTTTTTCATCCAGGACAGTAAACAGAACGAAACACCCCAGTGCTTATATATCTTGATAATTTTGGTCATCACCTCCTTTGTTTTATGCATCGGTTGTATTTTGGGGA